CAGCGTGAGATGCTGTTATGCTCTAGCTAAGAACAACCAGAATATCAAAAAGAAAGATGATTCTGGCCTGTACTATAGTCTGTCTCTTTGTACATAACATTTCTAAAACCAGCGATAGATTATAAGATCACACTATTATTGCTGAGCTTAAGAGTGTCTGAAGTTCGCATTGGTCTTAAGAGATACAAAGGACATTTTGTATCCGTCAGTAAAAGATATCTGTTCTTTCCACGAGCTCTTTAAATGCTGCTGCGTGGAAAGATGAATTCCATCATTATTTGAGAGTAGTATTTTGAAGGTTACCTCCATACCTCTCCACTAGCAAGAGTTGAGTATGTGTTTATTGGGTGGAAGAAATTTATTGAATCAATTTACTATTTGAGCAGTGAAGAAAAATTTCATTGGTTGGAAGATTGTAGACTGGCATTTTTCTTGCCCTCCATTCTGTCAATGGAATTAGGAGCAAAAGATGAACAACTTTCCAAAATTTTGTGTTGTCTCTTGTATCTTCATGGGGTCTTAAGTCTTTATCACACATAATTTTTTGATACTTTTCTTCCATGGTTGCTCACATCTAGTTTTTGTAGCCAGAGTTTTGCTGGCAGAGCTGTGAAATTGGCACAGTAGTTAATCTGCCACTTGTCACTCTCGAAGTACTGTTTATTTCACTGGATTTCAGTTTTGTATGAAAGCTGCTATACAAAACAAGAGAACAAAATACTGTGTGGGAGACAGACAGATGTACAATAAGAAGCATTTATGCAGAAATTCTGAGGTATGTAGGTTGTTATCCCCACTTCTGCTAGTTAGCTTCTGCTTGATATTTACCCTGAATTTCAACTTTTCTTTGGCATTCTCTGGAAAGCACTCACAGTGGACTAAGTGCCTCTAAGTGTTACATTAACAAGTCGTATACTGTAGGAATTTACTGTGAACTGGATATTCTCCTTTTCTTGGTTGTTCTTATGGAGAAACATGAAAACACTGGGGAGTGGATTTGCTGGTGGTTTGGGTTTTTTCCCCAGTAAAGACAGATTTCATTCTCTAGTCACTGAAAAAGAACTTTAACATGCTTGAATTTGTCTTCAATGGTCCTCAACTATGAACGTGATTCACTTGTACATATGAATTTGGGGGATGGGTGAAAATGACATTCTATCTGTAGTTTTCAATTTGAAAAGTCTCTGTAGGAGAGCAGATCCTTGATGTCACCTTGAGGGAATTCATAAAAATGTGTTCTAATTTCGCTGGCCTGGTTGCCAAGGTAGATGTGTAGTTTTCAATCTTTGAACGTTTTGTTGATCGAAGTAAGAACACAGGGTCGATTTATAACTTTTGACAGCTTCGGCAATGGCCCTTGCTGTCAGGTAGTGTCATGTATAGAGGAGAGAGCAACAAGCACAGCTGCTATCCTTCATTTATTTTGATAAAACACTTTTACACAGGTGGTCAGTTCTAGAAACTGATCACATTAACTATGACCAGATTTAGACACTTGCATCTCAAGGTCTTTTATGATTGTTGGCTCCTAAGTTGACGATATTCATTTTATTCACATACTTAACAGAGAAATGCTTTATGAAGTTCATTACGAGATTGCTATTTTGGGCCCACTGCACTGTGTTCACATCCTAATGTGAAATTGTCTCCTTCTGCAAGTTAAAAAGAGTTTTTCCACTTCTGATTTATTACAGAATTTCCTGATGTTCTGTAATATACACACAAAAAACCAAAACAACCAATCAAACAAAAAGATTGCAAAAGATCATATTTTAAAATTGTTTTCATTAAATCATAGATAGGGTAGATTCTGTGATGATTATAATAACACACATCTTCACTCTTTGTGAAGTTTTTGGATTTATTACCATACTAGTCTCGCATTACGAAGAACCTGCTCAGTCTCCAATTAGTATTTTGCCTCCAAAATATATTTTCTGGAAAATTGCATTAAAGGTATTTATCCTAATTGCTTTTTATTTTCTTTTTTTTTTTCAGGGAGCGCTGGAACACCTGTTGTCTTCAATGAAAATGGAGATGCTCCTGGACGCTATGATATTTTTCAGTATCAAATCACCAACAAGAGTACAGAATACAAAGTAATCGGTCAGTGGACCAACCAACTTCATCTAAATGTAAGTACTACTTTGATTATGATGCTGACATTGGAGAATACTCATTTGAGTATTACATTATTTCAAAACACTTGAAAAATTCGTGATTCCTTCTGTCAGTTGGCAGAAGAAAGCTCTTCCATTGTCTTCTTGAGAAGACAGTAAAAGATAGCACAATAACTTGAACCAAATCCTTTATATTTTAAAGTAGATTGGATTGTGTATTTACCTGCTCCTTTAAATGAAATTTTAGAATCATTATGTATTTGATATTCCTCAGACTGATTATGAAGTAAGACAGGGAAATAGTAACTCATCCTTCAAAAGAAAGTGTCAGACAAAATGATGGGTATGTGTATCTTGCCTGAGTATTTCAAATAACATAAGGGGATGGAAATGTATTTAATAAAAGAGAAGTTTAGACTCTAACTACTTCTAATTTACTTGAAACACTGGATGATGAACTACTGCAATAAAAAGATTTCTTGAATATAAAGGGAGAATTTGGTATTTTTCTATTTAGTTAACTAGGATTAGTATAGTCCCTTATTACTTAATAGCAGAAGAAACAAATGACACAACTTACCCATCCATGGGATGTGTTTCTATTTGCTGCCTTAATATGTTCTGCAAGTTTTGTGGTAGTTAAGCCCCACCTCTGCATGGAATTCTTTTTGTTTCGAAAATTGCTATGACAATGAGATTCCGAGAATATAATATGCCATATTTGTATGACAGCCAAGCACAAGCCACAGATGTAACTTGAGAAGTTGTTGGGTCCAACACACTTCTTTCTGTCAGAAGATGGCTCCATGTGTGGAGAGTTAGAGTCATGAGAAAAGCAAAATGAAGTTAACCTGTTTCCTTGTTAGCCGTGCAATATTTACAGGGTTTACTTTAGGTATGTTAGCCATTTGGGTAGCTCTGCTTCTGTGAAATATCAAGTGATGTTTTGCTAAGGGCTGATGAGAAGGGCAACAGTGTGAGCTGATGGCTAGATCCACCAAAGGGAGTTTATTCAGTGACTTTAATTAAGCCACAAAAAGCGAGTTTCAAACATCTCTGGTTTTGCAGGTGAGACATTCCTGAAGAAGAGTAACAACGACAGTGTAGTAAATACTTACAAATGATTCTCCTATTGCGACTATTTAGCAATTATTGTCTAAGTGCTGCCCAAAGTAACGCATACGATAGCTCCCCATTTTCAGCCACAGCTGTTAAACCACTTTACCATGTCTACTGTTTAATATCTATAACTACTTTGCAAGGTCTTATTTATTTTTTTTTTCTGTCCAAATAGGAAAAATCCTACCAACATAAACTGTGTGTAACAGATTGTGTGACAGTGTTATCTCCTTCCACTAACCTGATATCTGTCTGTTGAAAGGCTTGAAAGGAAAAAACATGATTTAAGAAGTTTAAAGATTAGTACTAAATAGTAACTTCTGGAAAACACTAGAGTCAGACCCTTATCATAACTGTTATGGCATATACTGCAGATCTTCATAATTGCTACAGTTTTCTGAAGAGTTAGTGTTCATTAAGTGAGCAGAAAAACTGATACACTCATTTTGCACAAATGTTAGTACTAACGTAGCAGTTACACAGTAGTAGCTAAAAGCTACCTTAAAATTTTCTTCAATTTTAATTCCATTCCAATCTGCCTTTTTCTATCCCCACTAGACTGCTAAATTTTTCATTAAGCCTGTAGCTTTTCAGTCCCATTATTTCTGCATGATGTATGTGTACTCCAGGGAGTTCTCTGAAATATGGTTAGATTGGCTGCTACTCAGGCTACTGAAACCACACCATGCTAACCACATTGACCACAAAGCTAACAGGAAAGGATTTATCTAAGGACACCACTTGTTAACTCTGATTAAGAATGGATGTGATAGATGTTCTTTGGCTCTCTTTTTTCATCTTTGTTTTTCACCTCCGTGAGCTCATGTGCTACACACAACTGGTTGTCCACATTGGTGGATGAGCTCTGTCTAACGTATGGAGTCACAGAGATGCAAATGGAATGGCACACTGCTCGGCAGCGAGTGTTTGTGCTCCCGACCTCATGCCATGATCCCGCTTTCATCCTACCACCCCATGCTCACACGGCCCCCTCCCCTCCCGCATGGTGCAACTGGATTGATTCATCAAGGAGGTGTTTCTCTCCCTAACTTTCACTCCTGTTTCTCCACTTACTCGTCTTTATCTAAAGCCTGGAAGATTTCTAAAGGGACAACAAAGATTTATTTCTTAAAATTGAGATGCTGGATGCTGGTCTCCATTGATCTGCAGGTGCTGGTATGGTAACAATGAAGGAGGTCATAATAGGGGTGATAGAGTTCATCTCCATCTGTTTCTGTGTCACTAAACTTACTTAGCATGTGTTGATGGTAGTTGTGCCACACGATGATCTACTGTGGCAAATAAAAGCTGTTGCCTCCTCTCACTAGGTGTACTAAATGTACTAAAACAAGTAATCTTTGTGAGTGATTGTCAATACTCCAAATCATCATATTGCAAATGAGGTAGTGCCTTTGATTGCCAATGAATCAGAGGGAACACAGTGGATGTTTTCATTGGTTTCAGTGAAAACATGTATATTTATTGAAGGCAAAGTGGTATTAAGATGGCAGAGCACTTTTTACCCTGCTGTTCTGTAAAGGAAATGCTTTTGAAATATACTTTTCCCATGCTATTCTTCTTTCTCCTGCATTTTCCTTTTAATGAAGACACATGTAACTATGATTTTTAATGAATCTCTGCCAGCTAGATATCTTTTATAGATACTTCTATTCCTGTTTTTACAGATATTTCTTCCTCAAATTTTGTGGTAACATGTTGTAGCTATGATGTGGTTTTAGTTATGTTCATCTATACAGCTGATATTGTGCTTCAGGAAATTTATAGCTTTTATTCAACTATTTATTTTCTATGACAGAAAAATAAATCATGAAAGTACCAGGTTTGCAGTACAGTTCAACCTTTGGAATAATTAATGTAACTAAGATTAGAAAATGTCTTGCATCTAGATAACTGAATCAGAAGGTTTCCTTTTTTATTTCTGATTCTGATTTTTTTTTTTCACCCTTCCTTTTTGTTTTCCTTTTCCTAGGATGCTCTTTGATATTTTCTCTATTGGATTTGGACTGTAGGTCCCTGTCGTGTGGGCTATGGCTCCTCACCCAGTGGCCAACCCTGGTCCTGTCTCTGACCCCAACCCTCAGGATTCAGGATTCCTCTCCTGCTGTTTCTGGTTCCTCAAAGTTTTCACTGACTCTGCAGGCTCCTTGTGGTCAAGCTTCAGATTTTTCCCTTTCCTGGTGCAGTGGTGGCTTTCCCTTTGGCCAGAAAGTGCTGACTCTGGCTAGATAAAAACTGTATCGTGCTCCCTAAGGGGCTGTTTGTCAGCAGGCTTCACCAGCTGCAGAGACCCTTCTAGCTGCGATGCTGGTTTCTCCCTGTAGTCCTCAATAACATTAACGCTCTCCTTCAGGCAGACTGACCTTTCAGATTTCCTCTGAGGCAGCTATAGCTTCCGGATATAGGAACTTCATGATTCCAGATCAGTACTACTTGCAATTCTTACAAAACAAATGCGTGTGTGACAATGCTGAGAGATACAGTATAGAAATTAAATTGAAAAAGAATAATGATCTTTAAAATTTATTTTTTTTGTGCATTTCTTGAGTTTGAATAAAGTATCTCGGTCTTTGACAAATGCAAGGAGACTCTGAAAGAAGATGTTTAGAAACATTGAGCTATAATCTCAAAAAACCTGTCTTTTATACAATTATCATTTTACATGATTCTGACAAGATAAATTTACACTCCCTTTAAAGTCCTTTTGCTCTCTAAGGTTGCCTAACTTTAAATGATCATAGAATCATAGAATGGCATAGGCTGGAAGGGACCTCAGAGATCATCTAATCCAACCTCCCTGTCATGGGCAGGGACGCCTCTCAACTAGATCAGGCTACTCAAGGCTCCGTCCAACCTGGCCTTGAACACCTCCAGGGAGGGGGCATCCACAACTTCCCTAGGCAATTTATTCCAAAGTCTTACCACCCTCGTACTGAAGAATTTCTTCCCAAGATCTAATCTACATCTGTTCTCCTTCAACTTAAACCCATTTCCCCTTGTCTTGTCAGTGGACACTCTTGTAAAAAGTCCCTCCCCAGCCTTCCTGTAAGTTCCCTTCAGGTATTGGAAGGCAGCTATTAGGTCCCCCCAAAGTCTTCTATTTTCAAGGCTGAACAATCCCAGCTCCCGCAACCTGTCCTCGTAGCAGAGGTGCTCCAGCCCCTGGATCATCTTTGTGGCCCTCCTCTGAACATGCTCCAACAAATCTATGTCTCTCTTATGGTGGGGACACCAGAACTGGACGCAGTATTCGAGGTGGGGTCTCACAAGAGCAGAGTAGAGGGGGAGAATCACCTCTTTTGACCTGCTGACCACACTTCTCTTGATACACCCCAGGATGCGGCTGGCCTTCTGGGCTGCGTGAGCGCACTGCCGGCTCATGTTGATCTTCTCATCTATAAACACCCCCAAATCCTTCTCTTCAGGGCTACTCTCAGCCCACTCTGTGCCCAGTTTGTATTTGTGCCTAGG